TTCTGGATTTTCCGTCTATCGCCGGCAGAAAACAGCATTTTGCTTTTGTCAAGTTCATAATCGAGCGCGATCCGAGCACATAACTTTGCTCCTTCAATGCTCAACATCGTTCCGTCTCCGATTAATATTTCCTTCAGGTTGACGATCTAACTCTTCTCTTCCTGTGCTTGCTTGATCCTCTCGATTATGATCCTTTGAACGCCCTCCTCTTGCAATACTTTAGGGGATCGTTGTCTCCTTACGGCTGATCTAGTATATGCAGATATTTCCACCACCCGATCGACACTTTTGGGTGTCACTAAATCGTCCAACCGGTTCAATGAATGTAAAATCTGACAATCTCGATCGGATACAGTCATCGTGCCTTTCTCTTGTTGTAAAGCGTTGCTTTCCAGTCAATCGCCACTCTGATTCCAGTCCCTCTTCATGTGTAAAAATTCATGGATCGGCCAGGATCGGAGTTTTTCCATAGCTTTGTGACGTAGCAGCTGTAATCCGGGCGCCTTGCAGTCAATTTCTCCGCGCATCTGACGGATCACTAAATTAAGATTGCCGCAAATGATGATGCGCCCCCGCGCCTGATCGGCCAGGAGATCTTAACCTAGTAGCAGGCCACGATATTCGGCTTCGTTTACTGTCAGGTCTGTTGCGTATTCAACTGCGACATTCACGATCTTCCATTCCGGGAGTTTCCACACTATTGCACTATACGCCCCGCCTTTTCATTTAGTGAGGGCCGATCCATCGAAACTGACCAAAAAAAGACTTCCACCCTCCTCCACCGTTGGTAGTGGCACACGTTTGGTATGTTTCGGCTGTTTCCTCGGGGCGATAGCGATCAATATCTTGTCAACATCATCGCGCGGGGTAATGCTGGTGGCAGGCGTACCATATACTTCATATTCTCCCGTTTCACACTTCTTGATCTCCGGCGCCCAATTTGATTGCAACGCCGCCCTTCCCCCCAACCTCCCATTAAGGCCTGAAATCGTACCAGCCAGGCCAACGTTATATAACGTGTGAGTACCTTGATCTCTCGTGCAACCAACGTAGTGTAGCCAATTTCTAGGATGCGCAGCAGAGCTTACAAAAATTCTCCACCATTCCATAGTTAATCTCGTTAGGTTTAAGCGTTCTGCTAGTGAACATTACAGGCCGGTATACTCCATCGTGTTCCTGTAGCAAAGCTGCAGATAGTGCCCATTTGCAAGCATAGACCACGATCACTGGAGGGCGATCCGGATTAAAATGTTTAAAAATTGAAGTATTAGAGATCTTATCCTGTAACATAGTGAACGAAATCATCGCCTTCTCCCATCGACTTCTTTCTGTGCAGGTAGGATCGCCCCCAGCAACACCGGAAAACGCTGGGTCCCCCCTTGTAACACTGTTACAATTCGGATCGCCCCCAGAAACAATGGAAAACGTTATATCGCCCCCTGTAACACTGTTACGGTTTGGATCGTGATCACCAAGACACTTCCTGTCGCCAGCTCTCTTTCTATTCCGTGTTGACGATTCCGCCTCATCCATACGTCGGATTTCGTGGAATTCGGCTTCTCGTAATTCGTATAGCACTGATGGATAGATCGAAAAGTCTCTAGTGAATCGGCTATATTAATTTTAACTCCATAGAAACAACTGCATCGACCGCAGCGTTTAAGGAAACGGAATGTTGACCAGTGATCCGAGATCCTCCAAGTGGGCTTTTAATCATCGAGTGATACTTGATGACCGAGATAGTCTACCTTGCGTCGTCCCCAGATACGTTTGGTCAGGCTGATCGACAAATTCCACTCATCGCATGCACTTAGCAATCTGTACAAATCGGCCCACGATGTAGCTGAAATTAGTATGTAATCGATGTACGATCTTCGACCTAGCACAAACTACTGTTGTCCGGCTCTCCTTCTGTGAACACGTCGATCTGTTTGGACGATTTTGTAGAGGAGGCGCCCGGATCAGCACTGATCTCCAAATATCCAGACAATGCATTGTCGATCAGGCGTTCGTAATCTGTGGAGAGCTTTTCAACCCAAACGGCATCCGTAGCCATTCATACAAGCCTGACGGCGTAATGAATGCTGAAATCCTTCTTGCTCGTTAAGTCATCTCCACGACTCAAAATCCGCCAGCCATGTCCAGTGAGCAGCACCACATCGCTTTGTCCATGTCTTGTAAAATTTCATGGACATTGGCATTGGGTGCACCATCAGCCTTGTCAACTGATTTACCCGTCGATAGTTGATGCACAATTTAAATGTCCTCGCCATTCTTTTGATGATAACGACGATCGGAGAGGCCGAGGTGATGTGAAAGGTCGAATTATTTTGGCCGAAAGCAGTCCTTTAATCAAATCTGCTAATTCTACGCGAATCTTGGGTGCTACTGGCCGTACTCTTTGCGCGATCGGGCTCGCTTCTCCCACGTCAATATCACATATCGTCTCTCTTGCGGCTGGACGGGGTTCGATTCCTTTACCAATAAGAAGATGCTTGTTTCTCCAGATCAGTTGTCGTAATTGTTCTTGGTTATCAGTCAGCAGTACATCTGGATCGCCTACCTGAATATCTTCGATCGCAACTTCGGCAGTGGGCGTAACAATGCTGGGTAGTACAGCCATGTGCTGATCCACATCCTCAGCGTACAACTCCATACTTTCATGACTGCAGGAAGAGACGTCCAAGTCCCTCGCGATCCGTTCAATACTCGGATCAGGTTCATCGTCGATCGTCACACATGGTAAATACCCCCCCCCTTTCCTCGACTGACCCCCTTCTCCTTCGTTCGTCGTAAGTTCGTAAATAGTATGAACCACGGTCTGACACTTGTCGATTGGTGATCCACTTGTCGATCGTCGATCTTGTCATGAGATCCGTCATGCGATCTATCGGAATTCCTGTCCTTTTTCGTTGCGACATCTGCCATTGGCCCCCGGGTGTTCGAACGCTTCCGCCCTTCTCCTCGATCGTGTTATAGACGCGTGGTAATGGGTCCACACGTGGAATCACTTTCTCGGCTACGATCGGGATGATCTTTGATACATTATTCCCCGCAGGCCGGCATTAAAACTTTTCTCTGGCGTAGGGTAGGTCGGGTAATCCACAAGCGGTCCCGCGTATGCGGTCGGCACTTCTTCCTCTCTTTTGGTCGTAGCTTCAAAGGCTAGTGTCTGCCACTCGTTGTACCATCGCGTTCCAAACGAGACGTAGCCTGGGTATCGAGCAACCATGTCGGCAGCCATAAATCAAGCCTAAATCCGGGTTTTTGGCCGAGAATTTTTTCTCTGTCGCCGAGATTTGTCAGCTACAAATACTTGGTCCGACCTATTTTAGTGGTTACGGTGGGTAACTATGTAGGATCGCGCCTCGCCCAGAGTTTGGCGTTAGAATGGACGTTGCCGATCCTTATCTCCGCCGATCTACCGACCGGCAGCACCAAGTGCTGTTCTGGGGCCATGATCGGCTACACGGATGATCTGTACAGAGGTCTGCTTCCTGCTAGACGAATCCTCACTTCATCTGGCAATACCAGCGTCCCGTCAGCCAAATCCAGACGTTTACCTGCGAGCACCATGAAGTCCATACCCAGGATCACCTCTTGAACGACTTGATCACCCACCCACACGTCAAAACAGTGTACCAGCAATCCATTTAGGGTGATCTTGATCTTGGTACGTCCTTTGATCATGTACGTGTTTTCACCTATCCCCCCACACTCTTGTTTCTGATCATCGTCAACGACACATCCTACCTTCCGAGCAAAGGCGGTGTCCAGATTTCGATCTCAGCTCCTGAGTCCAATAGCACTGTGGCCTTTTTGTTGTTAATCTTCCCTTCCACTTCAGATTGCTTAAACCATTTTCCTGGTGCATGGTATTTCCAGTATCCCCTTGACTCGCCCGGCTCTAGGTCAAGTTCCATCTTGGTGGGCGATCAAGTGTACTCATCTCGTCTTCTAACACTCAAAATGGAACGCAGACAATTTAAAAAAACAAGTATTTTGCCGATCATCCTGCTTGCCCTCGCCTCCGTCGACCCCCTTCCTCTGCACAAATGCATACACGCAGAGCATAGAACGCTCGGCTCGTACCAGATTCCAACCTGGCGCGCGTCCTGATTTAGCATCTTCTCGGCTTGTTCCGGCAACATCTCTGCATGCTTGGTAATCAAATGCCACTGACGGACTATGTTGCAAGCTATTCCATCGGGCACTTTCCTTCCTCGTGGACGTCCTTGCATACGAAACACACACAGTAGCATTAGTCCGCAGGATGCCCCTTACGTCCACACTTCTAACACGGAAGTCAATTTTAACATCCGCGATCGCCATGTCTCTACGACCCACAGTACGTACACACTGTTTGAGGCCTTCCACGATCGTAGTGGCAATCGCGATCGACTTGCTCACTTCGAATGAGTGGGTCTCCCGAGTTCTGAGCGCGATCCGCAGCGGTAGCTATGTACACATTGTGTCGATCCGGCTTCTGAGCGTGATCCGTAGCCGTGGCCATATCCTCGTTGCGTCGATTCGAATTGGAGTACGATTTGAAAGAGTCTCTGTCGGACCCACTACTCTCGTTATACACACGGATTACTCTCACAGCTCGCGCTGGTTTGCTGGAACTTGGGCCGCCTGTGGCGCAACACGCTGTCGAAATTTGCTCGACACCATGGAGGCATGGGCTTCTTGAACTTCCATATTCTCTCATTCTTGCAGCGTTTCTTCCAGATCACCTGCATCTTTAATGCGTAGCATCTTAAGCATTTTAGCCAGATCATGAACAACCAGGGTACCAATGCAATAATTCACATGTTCCTTGCGAGTGGCGGCGATCCATTTCGCATCGGGATCTTCGCCCGGATCGCGGCCACGTTCAGACGGTACAAGCACTCCAATGTAGGCTTGTTCGATCGCTTATGCGCATGGTAATATAGTCTCCTAACTGAAATACTATTCTTCCCACCGTTTTTTAGTAAAAGATCTTCCGGGGAAGCATTCTACGAAGTCTTCGTTGAGCGGCTAAGCTGGTTATACCAGTCACGCGCCAATCCCGTAAGAAGATCGCTGAACACTAAGCACTTCTCCACTACTGGCGCTTGATCGCTTAGGAACGCCGACTTCACCTTACTTGTCCAGTTCCTGGCCCGTTCTTCATTATTCTCTCGGCCGAAGAATTCTTTCAGCTCGGCCATGGCAGACATTCGAATCCTTTGGTTACCAAATCCATCACTCTCTGCCGCTCCTGCTGTCGCCACCTGCGGTATCATCTTGCCTTCTTGCTCCCGATGCTCATGACCATAGTCATGCGATCCGTTAGGACGCGATCCAACCGACTCCATGTCAATGTCCAACATGTGGATCTCCAGTTCGGAATGGCGATTAATGATTGTCCAGCGTTCATGTGAGCTTTTTCTAGATCGCATTTCTTCATGGCTGCTTAAAACTAATAATTCACTTGTTCTGACTCCACCATGTTCATAAACGGCGTTGCCGATGGCTTAACCGCTTGCGCTTCTGCCGCATTATGTTTAAATGTCTTCCGCCACAAATCCGCGCTCTTTGGTCCTAGCGAAATCCGTTGGATCTCGAACGAATCGTTCGAGTCCTCTTCCTATTCTGCTGAAGCGTATCGAGATGATCCAGTGTGTTCACTCTAATTAATCGTTCGAGTCCTCTTCCTATTCTGCTGAAGCGTATCGCGATGATCCAGTGTGTTCACTGTTGGGGGAATCTTTACTCAGCGTGATAACTTGTTTCATCGTAATCCGCGGCGTGATCCGTTGATCCGAGGTTTTGATTGGCGGGGTCGGGTTGTCTCCGGGGTCACGTATGCCTAGAAGCGGACTCAACGTCTTAAACAGCGACTGTCCAGCAGCGATTACTCGATCGTGGTTGCATTCTTGTAAAGTTTGTACGTTAAACTTTCCCTCCGTAAACCTCGCCTCCGTTAGCAGATTGATTAAACTCCGGAGCGCCTCCAACACGGTGTGGGTTGGTTTGGGAGCTGTTATCGGTCTGTGTAGCAATTCGATCAGCTTCGGATTGATCGTCTTTAGTACTGGATCGCTCGACAGCAGCTTCTTCATCTCCTTTAAATGGTACCCCCTGCTGAGATCTTCGAATTGCTAATTTTTAAACTTCACTTCGCGATTCACTGACTTTAAACCTTGATCTATCGTCTCCGTCTTGATCTACATCTGGCTGGCTTGTCCTTGTAAACATCTAGATCTTGTTTCGTCTCCGCCAGCTTATTAAAGTCTTCCGAACATCTTGTTTCTATCTTCATCATCTCTAATAGGTCATCTAATAATGATGAAAATCGTTTGGGGATTTTCCTAGGAATTTCATCGTGCGGCTCGCGTTTTTCAGTGCGATCCGCGGTGGACACCGGAGGGGCTTTAAATGGGAGTTGGGGTTTTTCTTCCAGATTGTGTAAACAATCTTCCGCTTTTACTTTCTCGTCATCAAAACTTCTCCCAAAAACTTTGACGATCTGGGGTCCTTCATCATCGTTTGTATGCGACAATATCTCTTTCGCTGACGCTTCAATTCCAGGCTCAGCCTTGATCTTCACTTCTTCGCTCAGAAATTCACGGTAAAATTCCGTGTCACCAGAAGATCCGGGCACGAGCACCATCGTGGTGGAGTGGCGATCTCTCATTTCCTGAGACGATCCCGACTCTCCTTTGGCGCCCGGACGACCGACTAACGGAGGAGGTACCCCGATTCCGTGTCCTGTATCTTCGTGCTCACCTTGTATACCCGTCGGTGGGTAGGTTCATTTCTACCCGGGGAAGTTGAGCTGAAGCTAAACATGACCGTCTTAGGGATAAGTGTTGATCGAGTGGAAATACTTCACCCAATCGAGGGTGGTGATGGATCGCGTGGAAATTCTTCACTCGATCGCTTGTAACTTGGGCGCTCTCCCAAAGTCGCCTTTGCCAGGGGTGATGCTTGTTACGCGAGCTTCTGACCACTTGGGCCGTCTCGCGATCTTGAATCTGAACCGTAAGGTTCAGTGCGTCCTATCGCAGTTGAGAGGGGGGGTGAGAATTGACCTTCCTACTGGCCAAACAATTCAAGGGCGAAGTTCACTTAAGACGTGGGTGAATCCCTTTTCAACGGGAGGCCAAAGATCGTACTTGGGGGAAGTCGACGCGCGTCTTTCGTTGCAAATTCGATTCTGTTTAATGTCAACCTACCAAACCTAAAACTTATGACTATGCCTATCCGTTCGCTAGGTCGGCTGCTATGGCATTCACCTCTTACATCCTGTGGTCCACAGCAGATAATCCATAGTGGATCGCCCCATACCGGATCGTTTAGTACCGGATCGTAGGGTACCGAGCGCGAAGTACCGGATCGCAAAGTTCCGGATCGCGGAGTACCGGAACGAGGAGTACCGGATCGAGGAGTCCCGGAACGCGGTATGCGATCCACGGCGGGTAAGTCATCTACCTCGATCACCATGACACACTCCACTTGACCTTTACCATTCTTGACCGTTAAGTGGGTTACTCTGCATCATTTCCACAGTCATTTCCTGTCACTCAGCCGTGCGACACCATCATCCATGCCAACGGGCCCATCTCCGTACGCGCTCCACCAATCAAACTAACTTGCGTACTTAAGGCGGATCGCGCGATCCACACTTCCGTCATCCTTCCTTCGCGCTTCTCCACAAACACGCAATGTAATCGGTCCAACACTCATCTAGCCTTGTCCCAAGTGATATCGATCCTTCTTACTGGGAATAGGTGCGCTAGCGCTAGATATGCGTCCCAGTTTGTGTCCACCAATCACAACGCCTTGTACCTGGCTGAGGTGTGCGATCCGCCCAATCCCCCACTCCAACTGAACCGTACATTTCTTGTGACCGCTTTTCCACAGGAAATTCACTTTGATCCCTAGTTGACGGTGGGGCGTCGAACAGTTTCATTCTCCACCTGTCACTAGAGGCTGGAAGTTTAAATTTGTGGAGCGGAAATTCCCTCCAACGAGAATGACGGTGCGCCCAGCGACAGGATCATTGATCACTCAGATGATATGTGTAGTGGGAATCCACTACACGCTAGAAGGAAAGCAGTAAAGATGATGACTATATCGTACTCGATTTGCATGACAAATTTGATGTCATTCTCGGTCTGCCATGGGTTAGAAAATGCCAGCCATGGGTGAGCTATCAGCATCGATCTGTACAGATGCCCGCCGTTTGTTCATCAGATGGACATCTGATGAACGTCTAGGAGCGTCCACAAGCATGTGGATGTACTACGAGTGAGTGTGATGGCCTCACTTGTGGTACGGTTGTTAGTTCAAGACCTCAGTGCAGATGAGCACTAAACTGAGGAGAGAGGTGCCGGAGACTCTGCAGATGCACAGGTGGCGCCGAATGTTCAACACTCGAGGAAGAGTGAAGCATGCCGTAATGCTGCAACCAAGAAAGAAGAGACTAGTTGCTGGCGATCGGCAACATGGAGGTTTTAGATTGACTAGTGAGTCGACCATGGAAGATAGTTGCCTGACATAGGTCGCGCAGCCACTGTCAGAAGACTTAGAGGAAAAGATTCCGCACGTACTTAAGGAAGACTTTCCTTAAGTGGTACATCCTGAGGGAGAGAGTCCCCATCATCTTGTGAAAATGAATTCCCAGGAAGTAATCAAGAAATTAAATGTATTGGATCACGATGGATCAAGCGTATGCGCTTGCACGCTTGATCCTTTTGCGCCTCCGAAGTTAGCTTCGAATATAGAACGATTGCCAACGCTAGAATAAAACGGTTCTTAAGTGATCCGCATAGTCGCAAAATCAAGAAGATTTGTGTACTCGTCTCGGAGCACGAGTACGTCCCCGATATTCGGTTGGAAATGAAGAGCGAACGAGTTATGTGCAGTTCGTCGATGGACGAAAGTGACATCCATGAGAAGACTCGGATTGAGAGATATGCATCTTAATCCTGGGAGTCGCCCCAGACAAATCCTTAATATAAGTCTTTGATCGCATTCAGTAATGTTTTCCCTGAATCTGTGACTTGCGAGTTGCCTAAAGACAAAGGCACTCGACACGAGATCAATTACTAAAACGAGCTCGAAGTACGGTGTCGTGAAGCAGTGGCCACTGCCTGGTGAAATAGTACTTTCGATTGAAAAATTCTTTGCGATCGCTTGGCTGCGAGCCGTGTGAGGGAATCAACATCCTCTCACGGCTCTCCGACCTTCTGTGTGCGAAAGGCCACAGGAGGGTGGCGGATAGTGCATTTATTCAATAAATTGAACACCGCAACGGCACCAGCCCATACGCTGATACCGAGAAAGGACGTCATCATAGATGGTATGGCAAAAAGTACCATCTTTTCGTCCATGAATCTGGTGGAAGGTTTCGATAAGACCATCATGCGTGAGCAAGCCATCCCGTACACAGCAGTGATCACCCCCAGCGGTATGCTGTGGGAGTGGCTAGTGATGTCACAGGGGATGAGTAACGTCCCTGCAACGTTCAACAGATGTGTTTTCAATCTGTTGAGACCGGTGCAGAACTTTGCACCGAGTTACTTTGTCGATGGATTCGTCCATAGCCGAGATATGGGTGGAAATACGGACGTTGAAGATTTTGAATCCACTTCCGAAAGGTTCTAAAACTTATGCGTGAGCATAAGTTGTTCGCGACCTTCAAGAATTGCATCTTCGCAGCGAGCGAAATACCACTTCTCGGTTGCATCGTGGGTAAAAACGGCGTACGCCCTGATACGGAAAAGATCAGAAAATTAGCGACTAGCCTGTGCCAGTCGACGTTAACGGACTTAACAAGTTACTTGGTCTAACGGCGCTCTTACAAAAGTATTTGCGCAACTACGCCGAGATGACGGTACATCTCTCTCGTTTGTTGAAGAAAAAAGAGAGGTGGTCACGGAGTGCTTAGTGTCAGCACTCCTTCAGAGATATAAATAAGGGTTGATACAATCGCCTGTGTCGGCGATTGCAGACCAGAGCAGACCATTCAACATGGTCTATAATGCCGGCGATTTTAGCGAACGGCTGTGTGTTGATGCAGTATAACTCAGAAGGCGCTGAGTGCGTCGTCTGCTATTAGCCCCTTCAGCTGTCAAGCGGAAAGACTTAGTGCATGACAAGGCACTACTTGCCATAAAGTACGCACTAGCGAAGTTTCAGGTCCATTTCCTAGAAGATAGACCGTCTATTGTGTATACCAACCACGCGTCGTTTTGCACGGCCGTAAACAGTCCGTCCCCTCGCAAGGACTGGCGAGGATGCTATATTTCTTTGCAGAGTACTACTTCTCTATCGAGTATAATCTAGGACGATTGTGTGTCGTCGCTGATGCTGTTTCGCGTCATACCGGTTCCAAGCCGGCTGCTCAATCCAATAGTAGGGTTGATCCCACTTTTGCGACACTACCAACCATGCGTCGTTACGCACGGCCGTAAACAGTCCACACCTGATATTTAAATAGGGACGAATGGTGATTGCTGCAATCAAATGATTTTTTGCTAAAAAATTCTGGAATAGGTCATACTTTATAAGAACATTCAATTGTATTGATACTATTATCGAGTCTTCTGCGTATGCGAAAAGCGTACGCAGAAGATGAGTCTCTTCTGCGATTGATGGATTACGTATACAATTCGTGCAGTCAAGCTTTGAAAAGCTTGTCGTCTCAATACCGCACTTCAACCGAACGGTATTCTGTTCGTGATGGACTGCTGCACTAAACAGCAGTCAACGGCGACACACCTCGTGTCTTGGTTCCCGCTCATGATGGTTTGCGATTGCGCATCATGTGTGAGTGTCACGATGCCCCAACAAGTGGGGATCGCGGTAGATAAAAGTCTAACCTCACGGTAAGTCGTGAATTCTACTGGCCCCGCCAGTATGAGTTTGTGCGCAAGTACATTCGCGCTTGCGAATTTTGTCAGCGAGTGAAGCCTAGTCCTTCATCCCGCGCACCCTTGTAGCCTCTACCGATTCAGGCAGAGTGCTGGCAGTCCGTATTGATGGACTTCGTCTTTGTGTTTCCCAAAGACGCTCACAAGAATACTGGTATTATTGTGTTTGTTCATCGTTTCAG